CTTACTATATATATATATATATATATATATATATAATCCTTAGAAATCCGTAGTAAAACGAATTCCCTTAACCTTCAAAGCTCTGAGCTATTAGGAAGCCTTAGGTGAAAAAGGGAAAAGTAGTTTTGATATAAAGCTAATTTTATATGCATGTCAAGTCATTTATATCATTCAAATTTTAAAACCCAAATTGCTAGCATGACAAAACTCATGTAGCAATTCCAACATGCCACTAGCAAAAGAATCCAAAGAATGGTCAATCTAAATCCTAGGATGAAACGCCCTGATAACTCTCATCTTAGGATTTAGATGTGCCGTCGTCAGCACTTCAACTGCCACTAGCAAAAGCATCCAAAGAATGCTCAGTCTAAACCAATGGTAGTTGATATGCCGACGGTTCTGGCGGGATCACCATACTCTAACCATTTGGTTTAGGCATTTCAAGTTTCCAACAATTGTATATGTCTACTTCTTTGCCCATCTCCTACCTCTCGAAAAGCAGAGAGCACCAAAGAGGGGCAACCATAGACACTCCTTTCGAATTTAATATATTTCTGAACTCTGAAACCTTGAAGCACACTATCCCAATACACTATATGATACATTGAACTGTAGTCCATACCCAGACCATAATCTAGCTTAGAATATTCTTAAGAATCCAAAATACTTGTTTAGGGGAAATTTTCCCAAATTAGATTGGTCCAAGAATGTAAATCAAAGAAAATATTCAAAATGAATCAAAACCGAAATGATCCAAGTCAAATATGTCAAAATATATCGAAAACAGGCAAGTCTGCAATATTTTTGTGTCCAATGGAGGCGAAGGTTGTCCGCAAATGCCATGTGGATGCCCCAGATTGAACCAGATCACTGCCTTCCTATTTTGAAGTAAACTCTTCTATAAATAGGCGACTTCTGATTCATTTTGGATGATTTAGACATATGAAACTCTAGCTTCCAAACCTTAACCCTAATTCCATATTTGAAACTCTAAACCCTACACGTAGGCTACTGCATCGTTAGTTCTAGGATCCTTAGCCAACCTCAGATAAAGAGATTCAGTAAATCCAAAAGCCCTAGATGTAAATTCTTACGACCCTTTCTTCCTTGGAGTGAAATCAAATATAGATTATATACTATGAGACTATAATTATTACAAAGAGATTACAATCACTCATAGCCATTCGATGTCAAATTAGATAGCTTGGGATGTGTCACGAAGTTTTAGAAATGTCGTTTTGAACTTTGAGTATAGTCAATGACACACTTACAACCACCCAATTTAAGGCATGACATACAAGAGGGATTGTGACCTCCTTGTCCTAAAAGTAAATGGTCTCTTTATATATTTTTCTATAAAATAAAGATATAGCTTATGTCCAATAATCCTACATGTTAAGCATATGTTTAATTTATATATTGACAATGATTTAAAGTGATTCAACTCTATGCATTTTTGAAGTAACAAAGTCATTTTATGAAATTCTCAATTAACAAGACTCAAAGTAACAAAGTCATTTCATGACTTCAGAGCTTGAAAATATGAAATTAGACCTTTATGTGCAAAGTCAAATGTGATTTAGGATATTTAAGATCCAAAGTCAAATTTAATTTCGGATCTTGAATATACAAAGTCATAAAGTCAAATGTGACTGGATATTAAAGATCCTAAATCGCATTTGACTTTGTATATAAAATGTTTGGCTTCAGATATTTAAGAGTAGAAGTCATGAAATGGCCATTTTGGATCTCAAGAATTTGAAGTGATGGCAATTGGGGAGGGGGGGGGGTGAATTTATTTAATAATGCTAATTTTAGAGAATATTAGCCCAAATTTTTTAGTTAAACTTATAAAAAGTTTTATATAGGGTGTGGTTTATATAGGGCCAAGACCCTAAACACTTAATGTAAGGCGCACCTTCAAATAGTACTGAAATATAATGTTTCAGTATAAAACATGTTTATGATGGCTTGAAAAGATTATAAAATTTAAAGATTAAAAAATAGTCTAGATTGAGCAGATCTATGAATACTTGAAAATCTTGAAAATTGATGATTGAGATAATACATTATATGATGCATTATTTCCAAGATTTAATCTATTTTTTTTTCATGTCCATACATCTTGAGGTCGATATGATTGAACTGAAAGTTTTTCAGCATCGAAACAACCCCTCTTAGTGAATTTTTGAGGCACGCCTTAATTTGATTGTTTGGGCCTCACACTTATATAAACTTTTTTCCTTTTATATATAAATTTATCCTTTTATAAAGTTGTTTTTACTTTAAGCACAAATAACTCAAAATAGTTTACATAGTCAAAGAGATAAAATTAACTATTAAACCTACCCTTTGATTTCCTAATTGGTTACATTAAAGGCTGAAATATAACATGAAAAAGTATACTATAAGACTTTTTACTTTTGGTATAAGGTGGCCACAATTATTCTGATAGCATTTAGACACCAAATTAGAACGGCTATGAGTGTTTTACAGACTTAGTTCAAGGTCCATACAAAAAAATTTTGAACTTTATGATGAACTTTAAGCTTTCATATTTCATATTTGATAGCTAAAAATAATTGTGAGTTATGACCGTATACCAAAAAATAATTACTCTCGTAGATAATACAATCCCATGTAGTATTTTCTAGCTCCGGCAATTAAGTCCAATATGCCTAAACAAAAACAAAAACAAAAACAAAAACAAAAAATACCCAGGAATGCATTCCCTCTCTCTCTCTGAAGATCAAGAGGTTGTGGATATAACCGTAGTAGTGGCTTATCCTCATCTCTCATGTCCCTCACCATACAACCAAAACTTGTGTCCCTCACCATTCGAGGCAAACATTTCAATTCCTTGGAATTTAATTGAATTCCCACGAAACGTAAGACCCTAGAGAGAGAGAGAGAGAGAGAGAGAGTTGGGACTTGAGATGACAGGGGCGATGGTGATACAGCAGAGCCTCTTCAATAGAGGCACTGCACTTTCTCTCTCTAAATCTAGCCTCTCTTTAAAACCCAACTACCCTGATACACCAGATAACCTTCTCAGAGTATCATTTTCCGGCTTCAATGGCTCCCCTCTCAAAAATCCTCGCCAATCAGCCTCCCCTCAGGTATCCCCCTCCTCTCTCTCTCTAATCAGCCTCTTCGTCTTTTCTCTCTCTCTTTTTTCCAATTAAAACTTGAAAGTTTAGCTCTTTATTTATTCCCATTACCTGAGTCCAAGAATTATCAGAAATTTCATACTCCAAGCTTTAATTGACAGCTGAAAATTTCATAATCCTGTCATGTACAAAAGATGGGCCTAAATTTACTGAAAATTTACTTGTTAGAACTTAGAAGTGAGATCCATGTCAACAAATAATGTGAGTTTTTTCTCTCACTTTTTTTTTTTTATGCTACTAATTTTCCATTTAAAATTTCTTTCAAAGTATTACTAGGTTAATCCTTTCAGAAAATCAATAGACAGTCATTTTAAGGAAAAACAGTCTGTGATGCTTTCTGTTCAACTGCCATAGAAAATGAGGAAAGCACCCTTACTGTACATTAGAATGACTAAATCACCCCCCAATGTTTTATGAAATAGTAAATAAAATCCCACAAGCACAAGCGTTTTCTATATTTTGTATGGAAAATTGTTTCATGAGTCGGGGCAAGGATTTCTACATTTCAGTCCTCCAAGGTATAAACTATTCATTTTAAAAATGAATGCAAGTAGGCCGTCCATTTAAAAACAGTTGAAACCAGTGTTTTAAAAAACGCCGAGTCGAACCGGACTCGCCCGGTTCGACTCGGAAATAGTGAAAAGGGGACTGGATCGCCTAAAAAATTGGAAATCGTCAGGTTCTAAAGAGAACCGGACGATTCTGTACAGTGAATCGCCGATTCATTGTACGTCCGAACAGTGAATCGGGAGTCTCGTACAGATTTTTTTTTTTTTTTTGTGTAATCCATGATAGATTTTTTTGTAATACTTGATCGATTTTTTGTAATCCATGATCGAATTGTTTTGTTTTTTTGTAATCCATGATCGAAATGTTTGTTTTCTTTTCTTGTAATCCATGATAAACCCATGATAGAATTTTTTGTAATCCATGATCGAATGTTTTGTAATGCATGATCGAAATGTTTG